AAGGCCTCATCCCTGCCCCTCATCCCAGGCAATGAAGATCCTGAGCGGCCAGTTAATTTTCAATTTTCAGGGCCTTTGGCTGGCTGGTGGGCACAGCCTAGGATTCAGACCAGGGCTTCAATTGGGCCTTGCCCCAAGGGGCGGGGCCTCGGCTGCTGGCAACACCGAGCGGAAAGTGGGGTGTCCTGTTGCCTGTGGGGCATGGCCTCCTGAGCTTCAGAGCCCGTTTTGAGTGGTGGTTCCATCAGTCCCCACTGTGGGATCCTGGGCGAGTCGCCTCACCCTATTGGACTCACTTTCCCCGCCTGCAACACCAGGAGAATTACAGCCTCCCACCCGTGGGGCTGCCTTAACGCCCAGTGAGTGTCCAGACAAATCCTGTACATGTTGGTCCACGTGAGCCCTAGTCACAAGGGCCAACGCGTGGAAACACCTCAAGTGTCCAAACACTCAGATGCCCCTCAAGCGATGACTGGATGAACAAAATGCAATCCGTTCACAGTGGAATGTTGCTCAGCCATCAAGAGGAGTGAGGAGCGGACAGACGCTAGAACGTGGGTGAACCTTGACAACATGCTGAGAGAAGCCAGTCACAAAGCCAGTCACACATCGTGCGTGACCCCATGGACGTGAAATGTTCAGAACAGGCAAATTCACGGAGACAGAAAGTGATTTAGTGGTTGCCAGGGGGTGAGGTTAGGGAATGGGGAGTGACTGCTCACGGGGGTGGGGTCCCCTTCAGGGTGATGAAATGTTCTGGAACTAGACAGAGGTGATGGCTGCACAGCATTGTGAATGCGCTAAACACTACAGAATTGTTTACTTTAAAATGGTTCATTTTACGGGATGTGAGTTGTACCTCGATAAAAACAAACAAAAAAGCCCAGACTCAGATAGGATCCTCCTGCAGCCCAGAACCGTCTAGCCAAGCTTCTTCCTCTCCGTTTGCTGAGAACAGAGGAGACCTCTGCCTGTCCTTTACCGTTCACATTCCCAGCACCTGTGACTGTGCTGGGGGGGGGCGTGGGGGTCTGGCTCCAACCCAAGCTCAGCCTCCCTATGTGTCCTTAGGCCTCAGTTTTCCCTTCTGGACAATGGGCCCCTCAACCTTCTTTGGCCTGGAATTCAATCAGAGATTCTGACCCAGGATGGTGGTCAAGGCCACCCATCTTCCTTGGCAGCTGGGGGAAGAGAAACCAATACACATAGCCTCTTCCTCCACACTTTTATTTTTTAAAAATAATTGTACAAAAGAGAACAATTAAGGCTTAGAAATGCTGAGATCCAGGCTGGGACTCTGCCCCAGCCAGGGCCAGGACTCTGCAGTAGGGGCTTGTCTAGCTGCTGCTCCATGCTTTGTTCCTCTGGACCCAGGGGTATCCAGAAGCACACTGGCCCTGCTGTGTGACCCTAGGCTGACCTCTGTCCTAGGGCCTGGGTGAATGCTCTGCTGTCATTATCTTGAAATTCTTAACACTCCTTGAACAAGGACCCCACATTTTCATTTGCAAGTTATGTAGTAGGTCTTGTCTGTCCTGCTCTGAACCTGGGGTTTCCAGGCCATACAGCTCTGTGTCTCAAGTGCCTGGAGAAGCCCCCAGGCAATCTCAGCCTGGGGTAGGAGTCTCCAGCTTTCTTTCAGAAGCTTCAAAGGCTGGAGCCACTACCCCTGACACCCACAGGTCCCACATATCTCCCAAGACCTGCTTCCCTGAATGCCTCATTCCTGGGTCCTCTCGCCTGCTGGACCTTGTAGTGTGACCTCAGCTGAGGCACTTGCCCTCTGAGCCCCAGTTCTAAGAAGAAGAAGGGGTCAGTCTCCAAACATCACTTAGCTCTGACCTTGTCCGACTTCTTTTTGCTTGGCTGTCTTCTGAGCTCTTATTCATAATATGCCAAAGCTTCAGCTAAAATGCCCTTTCCTCTAGGAAGCTTTCTCTGCTTCCTCCCTGGACTCTCCCAGGCCTTCCTATGGTCCCACAAGACTGGAAGTATTTATTCCTGACAGTGTCTCTCCCAGATTGGAGTCTCCTGGAGGAACCCCAGCTCTATCCACAGGCCAGCACAGAGCTTGAACAGGCACTCGGATCCTGCACCAGGCATCTGATGCCTTACGAGGACCAGATAAGTCGGATGCCAGACTGGCTCTTCCTCTGTCCTGTGTGAACAGCCCTGCCCTGTTCCGAGACTTGATTTCCCCAGCTTCAGGACAGTGAGGCTGGTTCTGCTCTTGATCCAGCCACTCCCTGTGTCCACGGTGGCTGGAAGCACATGTGCAACCCCATCCCTAGAGGTATCCACTTCCACTCAGCAGGTCATGCAGCGTCGCCTCATAGCTTCAGAGGGGGGGTTTGGATCCTCCTGAGGGAAACAAGCCCATCAAGCCTCAGGGGGCATGAGAGGCTCAGAAACACCTCTCCCTGCCCTGATAGTCTCCAACCCCTAGAGCAGACTGGGGTTCAAGGCTGGTTCAGGCCCTGAACATATATATATATATTTATATGATTTTCATCAACATTTAAAACCCCCCTGTCTCCCACCCCCATCTCAGCTCCCAGGGCCTGGAAAAGCATCGGGGTTTCTCGGGTCCCCAGGCTCACCTCAGAGTACAGGGGCGGCGGGCGGTAGCGGAACTCTTGGATATAGGCAAAGAAGGGGCCTTCAAGGCTCATGTCGGAGTCCTGAGGTAGCGGAAAGGGGCTCTGCCCCACGGCTGCCACACTGTCTGCCACAACCTCCGAATACTCTGGAGGGGCTGGAAGTGAGAGGCGAGGGGGTGAGGGTGGTGGTGGCTGGGGAGCCCTGGAATTGGGGACAATGGCTAGGAGCCTGCTAGTGCCAGCTCTGGGCTTCTGGGCTGTGTGTCCTCAGGCTGGGATTCTTGGGGGATCTGTGGTTGCCAATGTGATCATTACTGTGCACTGTTACACATGGGGTCATTAAGGTTGGAGAGGACATGTTGGCCTGCCACCGGCCTCTCTACCCCCCGGGGGACACCAGGATGGGACACTCACCCTCAGGCTGCTCTGGCAGGGCCCCCAGCCTCCAGTCTAGCACAAAGCTGGTATGGCTGCCCACACTGGACGAGCGGCTGCCAAAGGGGTGTAGGGGGACAGTGCCGATGACCAGTGGCAGTTCCAGGAGCAGCTTGGATGTGCCTGGAATGTCCACACAGACCTGGAGAAAGAAGCCACAATGGATGGTGCCCAGGCAGCCTCATCACACTTGCCTTCTACAGAAGGAGGCCCTTCCCAGAGGCCCCAGCTCCAGTCTTGGGGGGACCCTATCTGGGGACAGAGCAGATGTAACCCCCTCCCTCCACCTCCTATGATACTCCACCTTGAGGGCGTAGTCCACATGCAGCATGCGGCAGTGAAGGATGGAAGGGCCCACGGGGGGGATCCGAAGTGCCCGGCCCTGCCACAGCGCCCGCCGCCCCGGGCCCACAGGCTCGCCCGCGAGACTGGCCACCACAGCGTGCTTCTGCTTGCGGGCGCCTCGCGCCATGAAGGTCTGCGTCTGGACCACGACTGCTCGGGGCAGCACCGGGCGCGTGGAGCCGTTGTCAATCTCAGCGAACACAGGGATTACCTCACCTGTAACGGGAAGTGGCAGGGCCTCAGTTTCCCCACCTTCAGCCCTGACACTGGCCCTCCTCCCCATCTGGCTGCACCTGCCTCCTACCTGGTGTGTAGCCCTTGCGGTCGATCTTGGCTGAGAGGGAGACGAGGCCACGGTTACTGTACCAGGATCGGGCGATCTTCTCCCGAGCTCCTGCTTGCGGGGCCTTACAGGGCAGAGGAAAAGAACATAAATGGGTCGCTTTGTGGAGTTTCCAAACTATCCCCAGCTGAGGGAAGACTTGGGGCAGGGCCCAGTTTTCTGGTTTCTTTTTCACAATCTAGGAAATATCTGTAAAATGGATCTAGGAATATGACCCATCTCATTAAGCTAAAAATGAAATTGAGCAAGCCAGTGCTTAGTGTATAATTAGTGCTCAGCATGCCATTATTATTTTGTGCCCTGACTGTGCTCTATTTCACAGACGGCATCTGAGGCTCAGAGAAGGTGAGACAATTGCTCTGAGCCACAAAGCAAATTGGTGCAGCTGGAATTTGCACCAGGCTGCACTGACTCAATAGACATTCCCTCCCAGCCAGGGCCCAACTGTGACCCGCACTTTGTGACACTTTGTGAAGGGGGGTGAGGAGCCAGTTGGAGTCACCCAGCAGCCAGGCCCCTGTGCTACCATCTCATCTCCCCACGGGCAGCCAGCCACACACCAGCAGGGCAGGCGTGTTGATGTCCACAGGCTCGATAACAGTAAACACCTTCCTTGCCCTGCGGGCAGGAACCCAGGGCCGGTGCAGGGTGGCCTTGATGCAGTATCTGACACTGCCGTGTTTGCCCTCGAATGACGTCACCAGTGTCCTGGGGTGGAAGGAAGGGGCTTCAGGGTGGCGCCATACAGAGACTAGCAGGTTGGGGATTCCCAAAGACTTAGGGGGCTTGAAAGACAGAGACACTCTGAGGGCCTCCCAGTGGAGAATCTTGGGGGTCAGAAGTCCCCAGATACTGAGCAGTGGAGTCCCAAACCTGGAGGTACTCTCCCACAGTCCAGCACCCCAGATGACTTACTGAGGCAGCTGGAAGCTGAATGGGAACTCATGGCGCCCAGCAGGCAGCATGGTGGTCTCTCCAGTGTCTGCAGGTAGGAGCGAGAGGGGCTAGCTCAGTGGCTGAGGGGTTCCCAGGGCGCGCAGCACGTGTGCCACGCAGGGGTCCCGGGTCCTACCTGGCCGGAGAAGCGTAGCATGGTGGCTCAGGACCTCCAACCGCTCGCTATAACTCTGCGTGTAGGCGGTGCTAGAGCCGGAGCTGCGAGACTCGCTCCAGTGCACGTGGGCGCGGCCCCGCGCGCGAAGCCTCAGGGCGCCCACGCGCGCTGAGCCGGTCAGCTCCAGCAGCACCCGGCCGGCTACGGCCTGGCCGCCGCTGAACACGGGGTCGGCGCCCGCGCTCGCGTCGTCCAGCTGCACCGCGAATGCTTTCACTTTGTCGAACAGCATCGCGCCTGGGATGCAAACCCTGGACACGCGGACCCTGGCCTCGAATCCCCGACACGGCGCAGCGAGGTGCGGCCGCCACGGCCTCAGGACGCGCAGAAGCTCTCAGAGCCGCCACGGATTCTCCCGGCCTCGGCCGGCGCCACGTTTATAGGGCAGGGCGGGGCGGGGGCGGCACATGCCCCGCCCCGGGAGGGAATGAGCCAATGGCGCGGCGAGGGCGTGGCTCCGCCCGGGCGTGGAGCAAAATAACAAACTCCCAAGGGAACTGGGCTCCACCCCGGTGGACCCTGGGGTGCAGCTGAAGCACTGGAGACCAGACCCGGTCTCTGGCGGATCCTGGGGGTAAAAAGGGAAAACAGGCCAGGAAGCGGGGCCTGGGCCTGAGGTCACTCAGAAGGACCATTCGGTCCTTTGGCTTAATCATCAACCCGCCACTACTTGCAGACGTGACTCGGGCATGTGTAGCCTGGGCTGGAGGGGTGTGGAAGGGCCTGGCCCCAATCGAGGCGCAGAGAGCCTAGATCACCCGGGCCTCAGTTTCCCCTCTGTGCAATGGGGAGAAAGTCGGAAGTCGGTGGGGCCTCCCTATCCCCGTACACCTGCTGCCCCCCTCCTCTGATTTGAACCCTGCTCAGCTGGTAACCCCGGACTACTGACAACCTCTTGGAGACTAAGTTCCCACGTGCCGGAAGAAAATAAGTCCCCATTTCATAAGGCTGTGCATGAATCACAGTGTTGCCCCTACTGGACACCTCCCAGAGTCTTGTTCACGGGTCACCAACACGCCGACACTCGGCTGCGCCTAAAGCACCTGAGCCCCAACCGACATTTCTTTTCCAACTTCCAGCCCCGGGCAAACGCCTCCTAAACCTCTAGGCCTAGCCCTTGTGCCCGCTTCGGGCACCTCCAGCCCTGGTGCCCCCACAGACAGAGGCCAGTGCAGGGGAAGCTCCAGGCATCCCCGAGCCCAGGGCTGCGATGTTACCTCGGGCGGGGATAATCCCTCTCCGGGCCTCAGAGAAGAATCTTACGTTGGGGTTTCTGAACCCGGAGTTGCCTCCTCGCGATCTGCGGGGCACCTGCGCCCTCTAGTGGCAGCGAGATGCACTGCTGCTCGATGCCTACCTTGGCCATTCCTTTGAGTCTGGCTCTGGCCACGCAAGGACGCCCCCTGAAGGCCTCCGCACCCCCACAGTATGCCAGTGATACATGTCAGAGGAGGGGCAGAGGCTGTCGACTCAGTGATCAGCCTGGGGTCTGCTTAAAGGAGGGGACTCTGGGGCTGAAATGAGGGTTGGGACCTTTTGTCAGGGCCAAGGGGAGCCAAGAGAGGGGACAGGAGGCCATAAACCAGGATGAGGTGGGGGATGAAGTGACTCTAGAGGGACAGGAACTCTCCTAATGAGCTAGCATTTCCCTCAGTCCATTTTATAGATGGGTCCCCAGAGACCCAGAGAGATAGGTGGGGTCAGATAGCAGATCAGAAAAGCTTCGCTCCTCCAGTGTCTTGAGGAAGCCACCAGTGAGTGGGACCAGGGGAACTGTAGGGTGAGACCAGCCCGTTTCACTTGAGCTGCAGGAGAAAGGAAGTTCCTCTGGGGCCCCTTCCTGCCACACCCCATGCCTGCTAGCCTAGGTTTCCACAGCTGGTCAGACGAGAGTCCCCTGAACCTGGGGGCTGTTGGGACAGGCTGCAAGGCCAGGTCTGAGTTGCTTCCTCCTGTGCATATTTTGAAGATGGGTATAAGGGGAGTGATGGAAGGGTTGCCCAAAGAGGCCCACGTCCTCCGCAGCTTTCTGTAGCCCCTCTTTTGCTCCTGACTGGCCGTGTGGCTTGACAGTGGGAGACTGGGGTTCGCCAGGGTAAGATTCCCAGCCTAATCTGACTTCACCCCAAGTCTCCTCTCCCCCTCACCTGCAGATGCCACCAGAACCCCAGTCCAGGGAAGAACTTGCCCCAGCAAACACTGTGGGCTAACCTGAGGGAGGGTGCGGTGCACTGGCTGATCAAGACAGGGGCCTTCTTTGGGAATCAGGGACCCCAAGCTTGGGGCTAAAAAGGATCCTGGGGTCCACAGAGGATCTCCCTGCTCCACCAAGGGATTCCCCCAGACCGAAAGTCCCCACCACACCACCACACAGCCTCTAAATCGAGGGTGTCTGGGCTCTGGAAGGCGGGTGCCCAAATCCTGGGAGGGGTTCCCAGAAGAGAGGGGTTTGGAGGGGGTAGGTGGGTGAATGTCCCAGTGGAAGAGTCCAGGCCCTGGGGAGGAGGTCCCCACTTCTTGAGAAGGGTCACTCGACTGCACAGCCTCTTAAGTGGAAAAGCTCCTGGCTCTGGAGAGGGGCGCTCAAACTTGAGGAGAGGGGCACGCAGACTTGCTGATTGGGAAGAGCAGACCTGGGGAGAGGGTGCCGAGGGGATACTGGCCACGGGGCGCGAGGGTGAGCGGCTCACCTCGGAGGAGCAGCAGCTGCCGCCGCCGCAGGTATGTCTCCGTGGCCGCGAAGTCGCTGGAAACCGCGTTGACGCCCACAGTTCGGCTCTCCAGCCAGTGCGTCGTCGCCCGGCCGTGGACGGCCACCTCGACCGTCCGCACCCGCAGCGGCACCGCCGCCTCCAGCAGCACCCGGCCACGCAGCC